GGGTTTAGGGTTTAGGGTTCGCCCACAGACACAATCCCTTTAGCAGCTACGGTAGGTTTGAAAACAAATCAACCATGCATTTTTCGGTTCGGGCACCATCCCCACACCAAGAACTTCTTCACCGGATTTGAGATCACTGACTGAAAAGACGATGCTTTCGCTCAGGCCGACCTGTGCCCGTCGAAGGATGGCTTGAACGTGCTGGCAACCCACATAACGACCCTACACCTTTGACACTCCACTTTCTCAGAATGCTGCATGCCTTGATGATGTAATCAGCCACAACCTTGTTCACTGGAAGCACGGGGGTTTTCAATTCTTGCGTGTCCAAAGCATCCGCTAGCTGCTTCTGCTCCTGAACCTGGTCTTGCAGGCGCAAACTAAAATTCTGTCTCTGGGCATGTTTCTGCTTGAGATTGTCCCGATAGAGCAGGGCTACCAGCCGTGTCTCCGATAATTGCTCCAGGTAAGAGCATGTCTTCAGATTCAAAGTGTGCCTCAGCTACGCGAGCATGTGGGGCTGGGCCGGCTGGGTTCTACAGTTCTACATGAAGACGACGGGTTGCCTCTCAGCCTCTCAGTTGCACGACCAGAATCTGCCCCCTGACCAGGCCCTGACCCCCTGCCCTGCCAAGCCCTTGATGATCCGGCTACAGTGTCAGGATGAATTTCAATGAGGCGCAAAATAGCCTTGCGAAAGCCTTCCAGACCTTCGATGCCACGAAGCTCGGCTAACATTGCTCGGACCTCCTGAGCTTGTTGGAAGGAACTTCAGGCTTAATGACTGTGGACGGCTGCTGAGGCTCCTCCGGGCCTTGAACCGCCAATGTGAGAAGCTGTGGCCATCTCAACTCCATGCTCAAATACGGTATTTTCGCGGCTGGCGCTCTTCGTAATGTGCGGGATAGCAAACTGTGGACGCCCTCCACCGAGCGCTCCACAACACGTACCTGACAAATTGCTTGTAGTAACTTACAGGACGCAGCTGAACGAACATCTGGTTAGGAGAAGCTTTCGGCCCATTGACAAGAAGGCCCCTCGCATGACAACATGAATCAGGGCCAGGGCCATGGAGGCAGGCCACGTGTCGCAGTGCTGCCAGCCAATATGCCAAGGCTCTCTGTTGTTGGAGCGGCAGGTCTTCAATGGTGCCCCCACTTGCCAGTTGCTCCACCTGTGCCCGTAGACCTGGATCGTGAACGCCACCATTGAAGCTTGGTTCGAGAAAACGGCGCGCCATCATGTGCCGAGCACCCTCTCCCCCGAGGCTGTAGAGTTGTAGGCAATCTCGCGCTGCACGGGCAACTATGAGTGGGTCCCAGTGTGCCAAGGCACCTTGGACGTGAAATCCATGCATTCATCACTGCTTAGGTTCTGTTACATTGATCTCTTTGCTGCCTCTCTGCTGCTGACGAGTCTCACAGCCGCCACGGCAATTCTTGCCAAAAGGCCAACTTCATAATCAGATGACCTAGGGCCGGAGTATGGACTGGGCTGCAGGCGGGAGCGTTGAAAGCGGCCCAAAGGAAAAGCAAAAGGAAAACTGCTGTTACAACTTACACACCACCACCACCACTGCTTACCATCACCGACGACGACAACAACAACAGCAACAGCAGCAGCAACAACAGCAACAACAACAACAGCAGCAGCAACAACAACAACAATAACAATAACGATAACAATAACAATAACAATATCAATAACAATAACAATAACAATAACAATA